CTCCGGGCGCTGAGCTCGGAGCTGGGTGAACGGCCTTTCCCACAGGTCCGCCCCAGGGCACGCTCTGCAGCAGAGACCGAAGTCACAGACGGGTGTTGCCGCTCTGCGTGCTCACCCCGTGTTACAAACAGCCGCCCTGCTGTCCGAGCGTGGCTCTGGCATTCAGATTTTTCAGCTCGTTCTGCACACCGAGGGCTATTTTAGGTTAAGCTCTTCTATTTCCTTCCTTCTTGTGCACCGCTGACATAAAATGGCGACTGCGGCTTTCCCTGCGTGGGACCATACCATCTCCCCCTGGGCTGATGCTGCCAAAGCTTTCGTTGTTCCTGGGCACGTGTGCACACGTGGAAGAATGGCAGCTGCTACCAAAGCTGCTCCATGCCTCCATCCCCCCAACACCTGTCCTCACCACGCACCTCTGCCTGCTGAGGGCTGTGCAGGTGGGAGCTGAGGGCTCGGGTTGCCTGGCTGGTGCTGCGATAGGAGGCTGCACAGGGCACAGGTAGAGCAGGAGGAGCGGAGTGCAGGCTGTGCTGTCACAGAGCTGTGGCAGCAGTCAGAGCTGTGGTGGATCCTTCTCCCTGCACAGGAGTCCCCAGAGCAATGCTGCCGCCCTAGGACACACGGGGGGGAGGGTTCATGTGTACCTGTTTTCTTATTGCTAAACCAAATACATGATATGGGGCCCATCTTGTGTTTCTTTACCTCTTGGAGGTGACCTCTCCAGTGCTCGCAAGGCAGGAGGGCTGGTCACACAACCTGGGCCGGCTCCCAGTCAGGGACACAGCAACAGAAAAACCCAATTCTTTCCACTGAGGAGGAGAATTGTTTCCAGCACCACGAGAAAACAAAGCAGACCAAGAGGGATTATTTTCCCCAAACAAAATGCTGTTTGAAAACACCCACTTGGAGTCACACATCCCTCCCTCCTGCCCTGCTTGCTGCAACTTTGCCAAATGCAAACATTTTCACAGCATCAGCCTCTGAATTTGTGCAGTTGGCTTCAGATGCCTGAGATGGTTGGTTTGTTCTGAAATCCTCTTTCATTCTGTTTGCTGCCTGCTGCTGGACCCCATCCACACACTTCTCCATGAACTGAATGAATTGTGGAGGGCCTTGCAGAAAACATGCAGCATCAGAACATTTGCAGTTTATCATAGGAGCTTTCAAGAGTCGTCGTCAGCAGGGTATGCAAGATGTGCACAAACCATCCCCAGCAACTGCTCCTTCCTGAATGGTCTGTCCTGAAATGACAGCAGTGTGTGGAGATGCTTGGCCTGGCACAGAGCTGCAGTGGGAGGCAAAGCTCAGCCCGCTGCCAGCTTGAGAGGCATGGGGTTGGATCAGAATAGCACACCTGCACAAGAACATCTGCTCCTCCATACCCAGTGCTGGGTGCAGGACGTGCAGCACACTGTGGGACTGTGGCTGCCCGTGCCTGGCTGAGGGGAAGGCAGCAGCTCTGCTCCCTTCCTGCTGCAGAGGAGACTCCAGCTTGGCACTGCCAGGTCAGTGCTTTCTAGGGCCCATTGTTTTCATCCCGTAATTTTGGAAGAAAATGAGTGAGCTGGACAGAGGCAGGAGAGCTGCCCATGCTGCTTCTGACTTGGGTTTTGGCCACACTGGACACCTCCTCGGCTGTGCTTTCAGCTCCCTTCCATCTTTCTTCCCATGCAGCTGCAGTTTAGACCCTGCTGACATCATGTCACTGTGCTCACTCCCTTGCACATCCCCTGCTTTCCTCTCCCCTCTTCCTCCAGTAGCAGGAGAGTTCTCTGTCAGGTTAGGAGCCCAGTGATGGAGCAGAGGCACAATGGAATATTTTCCCAAAGCTCCAGCCCCTTGAGCCTGGTGTGAGCATTGTGCTGTCAGACACCTCAGCCACCACATTAAAAAATAATTTTGGGGGAAAAAAAAGTGTATTTTGGGACTGGAATCATCAGGATTCCCCTATGGTTTGTAGCTGAGCTTAAACTGAAATTCAACAGGTTCAGGGTTTATCCTCCCTGCCTTTCCCTGTTATCAAACACCTGCCTTGTTTAATCAAGCATCTTCTGTATAATAACAACAGGAATGCAGATCTCCTCTGCTCAGCCAGGGCTCGCTGTGGCTGTGCAGATCAATTAGCAGTGACTCACAAGGAGACAAGGCTGGCTCTATGGCCATGCCAAGAATGCTGGTGTTTGTCTGTATATGATTCTTTTTTTTTCTGTGATGGGATTAGCACCGAAGGTGTTTTTTCCTTTGGAGGGTCCCTAAGGTACTGTCTCATTATGTAAAGCATCCAAACAGCAAAGGCCTGTTGCTCTTTAGCTAATTAGCCCCAACCCTTAAGTTCCTCACCTGGAGGTGGGCAAGATTTGTGGGAGAGGTGGCCCAGGTCAGCTCCTGCCTGCAGAAAGCTGGAGAAGGTCTGGACGCTAAGAGTGGATGCTGTCAGTGAGCCTGGCTGTGGATGGGGGTTCAGAGCCGTTTAAGATGTTTCCTGGGGGCACCTGAGGTGCTCGGTGTGGTTGGCAGGAAACATTTCCCCAGCAGAGTGGCTGAAATGATCACCATTCACTTTGTCTCGGCCTCAGGTAATTAGCAACTTCCTGGTCTGTGCCCTCAGCCTGCCCTGCAGATAAAGGCTGTAATGCTGTGTGATTGTGATAACAGAGAGCCAGACCTGGCCCTCCTCTTTTTGAATCTTAATCTCCTGATGCAGTGACTTCACACTGTAGTAGGGGAGGACACTTCTCAAATTGGGGTCCTGTGACTGCGTGCCTTCAACTTCAAGCCTCTCTGAGCTGCTGATGGTAGAAGAAGCAGCCTCCAAATATGCCAGCTTGCAATATCTGCGCTGGGTGAGCTGTGGCCTCGATCCTTGCAGAGCCTTTTGTGGTGAGCAGCTGCTGTGAGCTCTGCTGTAACTTGGAAAGCTTTGCAGCCCAGGGCTGGGGAACTGGGCTGATGCTGTCCTTGACCCCAAAGCCTTCCTAGATGCATAAGTCACGCAAATAAAATTGCTAAGACTTTGAGTGTACTGTACTGGGCACTAAGGACAAATAGCTCAGCTGGGAAGAGGTCTCATGGGAGCAGTGTGAGCCTGGGGCAGCAACAGCTGGGACAAACCTGGTGCCTCTGGTGCTGTGGGCTGCTCTGGCTGTTTGCCTCTGTCCTCAGACCAGCACTGCTAATCCTTGGCTTCTGGGCAAGCAAAGAAGAGAAAATCTCTATTGTTTTCTTGCTTTGGCCAGACCTTGTTTCCCTTCCTGCTGCCTGAGAGCATAGCACAGACTTTGGGATCTGGGGGGTGTGGGTGCTTCCCATCGGCTCCACTGCACGCAGAGTTTTGGGTGATTTATCACTTATTGTGCTGAGCGAGTTGGCAGATGCTCCGAGCTGGCAAGGAATGAGGGAGATTGTCATGTGGAGCAGAATGCTGTCTTCTGGCACAAGAAAATGAAGCAAGTTTAGTCTTCAGGCTCACATGCTGAGTGTGGTTGTGGGGTGTGCTGGTTGCCAAAACTGTTGAGCAGGAAAGCAGTGGTTAATCTGTCTGAATGTTCTTAGCAGTGCAGGCTGCCAGCAGGGGCTGTTCTCTCCGTACCAGCTCTGAATGCTGTCTCCACTACCAGGCTGCAATCGTAACAGATATTTGGCCAAGGCCAAGCTCCCAGCCCTTGGGTGGAAGCACACCACATCCCCATCTTCCTCCCCCCATTTAAGTGAGGTGTCAAGGGAAGGAGAGCCTCAAAGGAGAACAAACTTGCTCAAAATAGGAAATTAGCAGCAGTGGAGTTGAACTAATAAGTAGCAACCCAAGTTGCAGTGTTAGCCCTTTGGGTAACACAGAGGTGATAGAAGCTCTGAAGTTACCAGCCCTGCACATAATGTGTTCCCCTTGGTCTCTCGGTCACCATTTACCTATTATTGCTGGGGAAAGTTGCCCATTTTGTGGCTATGCTCTTTTTGTTTATTTACAGATCTTGTGATGCACTTTCATTGTCAGCTGTCAAACAACTGAGTAATGAGAGCCTTCCACGTCAACCATTCGTTCCCATTTCCTGGAGCCTGTAGGCCAGCTGCACTTCCCTCAGCCATAAGCACAGTGTCCCTGCTGAGGGGATACACACTCAGTTATCCCCTTTCCTTGTGTAGGTAGGACCAGGCTGCAGCCCTGGTGGCAGCAGTGTATCTGCCCAAATTAATCATGTATCCCCCTGATATAACTGCAGACTAATTCCAGAGCTAACATGATAGCACATAACTGAGAGTGGGACCAGAGCAGACTTCTGTTGAGCTCTCCCCAGCCCAGAGAGGGTGTTTCTGCACCATTAGTATTGAAAACCTAATGATACCTTGTCTGCTCTGAGGGTTTGTTGCATGCCTGTTTGCTGCAAAAGGTGTCTCACATCCCAGAAAATCAATGCAGTAATAATTTTATCATGAATTTCTTTTCTTTATTGCCCCAGAGACCTCCCAGCATTCTCATGTTGCTTGGTATCGGGTGGGCAAAGGGCTGTACCAAGGCTGATTGGATCTTGATAGGTTAACAAGGGCAGAATACCAGTGAGAGAGCTGCACCATTCCCACCTGAGCTCCTAATGGGAGTCCTTCCTCAACCCAGCATCAGTTTATCTTGGAGATCTCCAACCTGCTGCTTGATAGGACAAACAAGCTAACACCTTCCCATCTTATTCACGCCCTTCTCCAAAGGTAAGATTTGCTCCCTGGAGCTTCCCTGAAATGCCCTCTTACATTTGATGTGCCCAGATGAAGGCAGATGCCATCACACCATCAGCTCAGCACATCCCCGTGCAGGCGGAGCAGAGCTGCTACCTGCAGTCACAGCTACCTTTGCTGTTAGATTTACACAGCAACTCCTTTTTGTAAAGTCTCAAACACAGCTGGATGGAAGAAACTTGTTCATTGTGAGGTTTAGGAAAACATTTTTATGCAGTTGGTGGTTGGTTGTTTTTTGTTTTTTTTTTTTTTTGCAAGTGATGGGTGTGGTACAGAACTTTGAATTTCCATTTCAAGAATACAGAGCAACAAATACAAAACAAACTTCTTCCTGGGAACATGAAAGGAATGTTTGCTAAATGAAATGGATAATGAGCACTGAGGGGAAGGTGGAAGGGAGGGGAAACAAAACTGAACAAAACCGGCACAGAAGCCCAAACCCCACTGAAGAAGCAGCAGTCACATCATCTCTCTGCCGCTCAGGATGCGTTCTCACTTTGCTTTTCTTGTTCGATAGCTGCCAAAAAAACACACAGAACAAAACCACTGTCAATCAGCACTGCAAGGGTTGGGGCCAAAACAGGTCTCTGTGTCTGAGGGGTGGCAAATCCCCACTGGATTTGACCACCCCAAAATTCTGACATATTCCTTTGTCTGCCTTGCTACCAAGGTGCAGTTCATGATGTTGCATCTTCCTCTTATAGGACAGACAGAACATCAGCAGGGACAACAAAGCAGAGGCAGAATGGGTTTCTTGCTGGGAGGAGAAGTGCGTCCCCGTGGCTACCAGCACTGACACACCCCGAGTAGAAACCATCTGATAGAATATTAATTTAATGGCTTCCTATGTGGCTAGTGGTGCTCTTCTGAGAGAGGCTGCTCCCAAAGCCTGGTCCAAGAGCAGGGAAGTGCCATTTTCACACCCAAAACTGAATGGGAAATGCAGCCAGCATCTGGTACAGCACAAGCATGGGGGATGGAAAAAGTCTGGGACTGCAGCCCTGTGCTCAGAGAGGTTTCCTGTTCAATACAGGCAGTGATGGGCTTCTGCTGCTGCTTTATTCCCACAGCTCTGATGTGCCAAACCAGGGTCAGGCCCCTCCTGGGACACTGCCTCCCCTCCTGAGCATCTGTGCAGGTATGTCCCATTACCTTTGCTTTTAGCAGGGTATGTTACTATCAGATTACCTCTACACAAAAAGCACAACTGGTTTTAGCTGCTCCTACCTTTGGAAACTCAACATTTAGCACAACTCTTGGCATTGTCCCCTTTTAAGTCAGGGATGAGTTTGATCACTATTCATTTTGCACGTTAGCTGCAATACAGGCTGATATTTTCGCTGCTCTCGGTTCAAACAGCCCCACAAGCACTTACTTTCTTTGGTGGGCAATGGATTTTTCTCTCTTGTTTCTGTCTTCTTCAGCTTGGTCTTATCAAACGTTTCGATTTCTGCGAAATCTGGTTTGTCAGACATGGTGGGTCCTGACAAAGAAAGGGAAAGCACACCCGGCTCTGTTAGCTCGTGCTGTGCTATCAGCCATCTGCAAGGCAAAGCCTGCTGCAAAAGTGAAGAAATGCGGTAAAAATGTTTATTCAAAAACAAACACAGATCTCACGCCTCAATGTGGGACCGCTCCCCAAAGCTTGGTGCTCTCAGAGCAGAAGAGGAAAGACATGAGTAGAATTTAATACAGATTTCTCAGCATCAGTTTCTCAAAGTCACATTTTGAACGTAGAAACAAACCTAAATACAGTGCATTCACAAAGAATAACCCACGGTACCTCCTGACCTGAGCTGCTACTTTGAGGAATGCTGACACCCAGAAATTCTGCAATAAGCCACGAATCCGACATGCACAAATAGTTTCAATAATGGTTTTGTTTTCATTAATAGGCTTTTTCTATAATTCTGAGTACACTGCCCTAAGTCGGTCCCGCAGCAGGGGGGATTAGCTGCTGTGTGCATTTGTGCCCGACAATAGGAGGGCTGCTTCGCAGGGTCCTTTGTTTGCTCTCACACTCAATATTCGAGTCAGTGCGTTCGATTGGACCCCATTATAACAGATCTCCACAAAGCACACCAGCATTAAATGCTGCACTGGCAAACCGTCCCTCATCCAGTTCCCATTTTTAATAGGAATTCAAGCTAAAATCCATCCCGTGCATTGTTCTGCTGAGCTCAGCAGAGGTTCTGCCAAGGATGGCTCAGCCTGCGGGCTGCTGGCAGGCATATACCTTTTCCTTCCTTAAGACAACCTGATTCTATTCCTATCTGCTCTGAGACAACAGAAGTAAATATTCACAGGAAAAAAAAAACCAAACATCAAAAAAAGCAAAGCTACTGAAAGCACATGGCATTACCGTCTGGCTGCTTTCTCCTCAGCTGCTCGGTGACCGTCTGAGGCAGCGCGTGTTTAAAAAGGTCATGTTAATCCCTCCTCTCCTCCCACCCCCGGTCCCATCGCCATTAATATTGATTAGTTCTGTGCTGGGATTGCTCAGCATTTAGGGAAAGGACAGATTGCCTCTGCAGAAAATGCACGAGAGGGGGAAATGGAGAAACCAACACAGAAAATTGCCAAAATACATCTTGATATTTTTCTCTCCTCCTTTTCCAAGATGATGGTGTTTGAGTTTCCTGCCCTCCTTTGGTAATGCTGAGGTTTGGAGTTCACCTAAGGGTGGTGCTAGGTTGTGGGTGATGAGTTGAGGGGGATATCCTACCCCTGGAGATGGCTCTGTGCACAGTGATGATGGCATTGCTGCCACCCGGGGCTCATCCATCAGCTGGTGGCCAGGCACGTGTCCTGGAAGGAGGAACAAAGAATCTCCCCTTTGTTCTCGGGTTTGGCAGCTACAAATCCTTGTGGAGGTTCCTCCCTGCAAGGCAGTCCCTGGGAAGCAGCCTCCTTCCTGCTGGGCTTTGTGAGAAAACGTGTTTGCACGTCCTGCTGACAGAAGGAAATCATGCTCTGGGTGCTGAGTGATGTGATTTTAAAAACTTTTCATAATGGTTAGGAGTCCTCAGCTGTGTTTTGCTGGGACACTTTCTGTGAAACTGGACAAGGTGGCCATTCCTAGCCATGTACTGGGGCTGCCTTTAAGTGTTCAACCTGGAATAGCATTAATAGTTTGTTGGAGTTCCTTGGTTTCTCTACTGACTTTAAAGGGAGCTGAGATGAGCTCCAAGAGCCACTAGGCAACTGTGAGATCTTTGGGCAGACAAATGCAGTTGATGGAGAGATCCTGGAAGGTGATGTGGGACTTTCTGAAGGCTTAAGTAAAGTGCATGGGGTCTGATCTGTGTGCACTGAGAACATGATTTAAGGACCTCTTCCTCCAATGTGTAGTTAAATTAAAATAAGGAACAAGGCAAAGGAGAGCAGAGCACCTTCACATGAGAACATCTGCACAACACAGCTCAGCTTAACTCCACAGGGATGGTCTGGGTCCCGCTGAGCTCAGCACTGTGCAAACCTGTCTGTGCTGTGTCTGCTCCTAAAGGGCTGTGGGCAGCAGTGTGGCCACACTCGTTATGATCAAAGTTCTGCTAAGTGGTGCAGCCTGGCTCAGTCGTCTCTGCGTCTGCACTGTCCACAGTTCGGGGATGCAGTGTTCATCCCTGGCTCAAGAGGAGCTGGGGAGACTGAGCTGCATGGAGATGAGGTGGGAAACTGCAGGAAGAAGGGGCTGCTTTCTCTTGGGTGCGACGCTGAGAATCAGATTGCATCTATTTGTATGTGGGACCAACAGGGACAAAGAATCCGAACGCGTCGGGGAACAGACGTTGTGCAGATCAGAGTCTGTAGCTGAGCCAATGAGCTGACACAACCGTCTCGAAATAACACACCCACTCAAATTGAACAGTGATTTCATTTTCAAAACGTTGTGGTATTTTGGGTGGCAAAGGTAGGAGATTGATTTTTTTTGAGGTTGAAATTGCTGGGCTGGGTTCTGCGAGCACTCCAATTCCTTTTGGAATCAAGCACCTTCCAGCAAGGTGGCAGGACGGGATGTGCTGTAAGCTACACTTCGAGGGTTCTGTCCTTAGGGGAACAGAAAGGAGACTACAGCTTTACTGGAAGGATTTTCTCAGTTCCCTTTGTGCTGTTTGCTCTATCTTGCTGCCAAAAAAAATAACCATGTTTGGGAACGGAGACAGGTTCCCAGGCTAAGAGACAATGAATCCTGGGGGTGTAGGGAAGGCAGTGATGTCTCTTTGGCAGAGTGTCTCTTCTAATCCTGCATTGCTGGTGTGTAAACAATTGGTTCTTGTCCGCCAGTGTATGTTTGATTGTTACCTAAGGTGTTCAGTTTTCCTCTTCTAGAACATTGGGCCTTAAGGGTGGCTGCAGATGGGAGGAGAAGACAGGCTAGATGTGGACAGTCCTTCTGCTCTGGCTATATTTTCTAACCACATGTTTTCCAAATAGCTCTGGAGTTAGTCTATGCTAGGAGTCTTATTGCAGCAGAAAAGAAAAACACAGAGAGAAAACATAAGCTAGTGGGAGTGGAAATTTCCTCTCTCCCTCTTTTTTTGACTTCCAAAATTCACCATGGGGGTGAATTTGTAAAGGTTTGGCCAGATGGAGATTTGTGCAACAGAGCTTTCTGAAAAGCTGACCCAAAACTGTGTCTTCCAGCACTACATAATTGGCTTTGGTATTTCCTTCTCTAGCAAAATGTGGTGACATATGTGTGCATTATTAAAGGGAAAAGATTAATACAAAATGTCCATGCATGTGATTCTCTCCCAGAGAAAGGGTGGAGAAAGAAGCATGTGACATATTAGTCACAACAGTATGCTATAGGGCGAATGGTGATGAATGCTGCTCTAGAAATGCTAGGTTAGCATGATTTACACTATTTACTTTTTTTTTTTAATATTAATATATATCTATTTCTGTCTCTAGACGCTAAGATCAGTAGCATCTCTCATATGCAGAGGGAAAGAGTAGGGCAGAGAAAGAAGTCATGGGTGAGCATTGGGAACGTGCTCAGAGGTGGCCCCTCTCAGTGCAGCTGACTGCTCTGGAATTCAACAGCCTCTTGAATCCAACAATCCGTTGTTGACCTCCTCACTCTTTTTCCCTTAAACAAAAGGAGAAGCACCGTTCTGATTGAATTGTGACACTTCATCTGCAGCTGAACTACCAAACTGGTAAGCCAGGCAATCAAAGAGAAGGTAATAAAATCCAGAGATCTACAAGTTCAGCATTTAAATTTTCATTTTTGTCCAGAGGAAAAACAGGCAGCAGGTGAGTCTGCCATTTCCATCAGTGTTACACTGTGTGCTGGGGGAGATATGATGGTATCATGCCCTGACTTCAGGGACACACGGCTGAGGCTGAGGCTGTGAGGATACCTACCACCAGTGCTGCAAAATCCTTTCCGTTCCAATAGATTGGGACCTCAGAGCTGAAGTATGCATTATGTTTTGTGGAAAAGAAGATAAACTTTCACGTTTTTCAGCTGCCCAAGGAAGGGAGGCTACCGAGGCAGAGCAGCAGACAGCCTGCTATCTCTTCTAGCTAATTTCTGCAAGTAATTTCCAGAATAAAAAGTTGTATTTCTACATGAAGGGATTCATACATCATCTTTTCCAAAAATCATTCTCCAATTTTATGAGCTGGTTTGTAAGCCATACACATAGAGAGCACAATTTGTGCTCAAGGCCAACAATTACCTAAGAAAGTGGTAATCAATAAGTTCCACATTTGTTATCAGTTGCCTGCTCAAATGAATGCTGCAGCCTGCTACGTAAACACTCTTTTTCTTCTCTAAAATATAAAGGAAAAATATTAGGCTACTTTCCTTCTGCAGCGTCCAAAGCAAATAACTATTTTTTTTCAGGATTTGACCAAATTAAAGTTTCCAGTGGCTACTTTAAGGCTTGTTCCTTGCAAATATATACAAAAAAAAAACACCAAAAAACAAAAAAAACAAAAAAAACAGAAAACATCTGCAGTCTTATTAAGGATATGTCTTCATAGCAGGGTCAATTGGAGCTCTGTACACTCAGTTTGTCACCTCTGCAGTTATTATACCTCGGATGTGAGCGACCACACCATGAAAAAACACGGGAGCAGCAGAGACTGATTGTGTTGGCAGTGGGCAGATTGTGCTAACCTGAACTGCAGCTCTTCCACAGCTCAAAGGAAGAGCAGCACAGCTCAAGTGCAGATCCTCGAAGGTTTAAAGTACAGGAATTTAAAGGGGATGGGGACATTCAAGCTTTAATTCAATTAACTTTTGAGTGGAAGCTCGCTTTAGGGCATGAGTTTGTCAGCCTGCTGCCTAAACTGGTGAATAAAGAGAAAAGCAAATTGGAACTGAAACATGAAAATGTGCAATAGTGTAATTTTTTCTTCTCTGATGCTTACACTGAATGATATTTCCCTTCGAATGAATACAAGCTTGCATAAAATTCAAATAACTCAGCTGTCTACAGATGGGGGTGGGAAGGAGAACAGAAGGAAGGAAATGGAACTGAGAAGACTGAATTAACCTTTCAATGTCTTGAATTTCAAGAAGGAAAGAATTCTCTCCTGTTAAGTCTGCAACCATGCAATTAAAATGTGAACAAGCCTCAATAGCCACATTTGCCCTATATTCCCAGACCTCTGCTTTAAAGACAGATCTTCCAAACACAAGGAAAAAAAAATCCTTATGCTGGTAGAAAACCAAGTAGAAATGTCTGACATCGTAGAACATGTGCCTTTGATACTGAACTCAGCTTAAAGCAAAAATCCTTATACACACGTCTTGTAATGGCAGACAGCCTTCAAAAAGATGAATTTATTTCTCTGTGCTGGAGTTTCCGTTTCCAGAAAACCGATTCTTTCACTTATTTGCCTGAGCTTTGTTTTCATTTGTTAACACAAGGTAAAGCTTTCAAAAACGGATCCTTCAGTGCCCTTTTGGGAACCACGTGTCAAAAGAACTTATATGTGCTGCTTGGAGAGAGAGCTCCAATGAAGCTATGGGGCTCCAGCACTCACCAGAGCCTTGTGCTGGTGCTCTAAAAGAAAATTTAGGAAAGCTTTCAATGCTGGAAAAGGGGAACAAATAAAGACTCCTTTTGGAGACATCACTGTCTCTGGGAGGAACATACAGGAAAGGAAAGGATTTTGCAGAGCAACCAGCTGGGAAGCGTTGCTGTTTGCTAATTCTTCTTTGCTGTACAAAGGACTCTCTTTTGTCAATATTCTGCAAGATGTCAATAGGGTCCATTTAAGACCAAACAAGTCCAGGAGACTGTATCAAATTATTTGTTTGCAGATAGACAATTAAAACCAAAAGCAAATAGTTTGCTGAGGCGGGGATAATTTTTCTCCAAGTAAAAGCTGTTGGCACATGATATCAAGGTATTACAGCAGATGATGTCTTGCTTTGCTGTGCATCAGATTTCCATGCCCTTCTGCTGAGATAATGGCCCAGTATGAAGGTAAAGAATTGCATGGCAGTGCTATCAAGCTTCAAATGATGGGATAGCACTGCAAAATGAATTTGGGTATTATAGATCAGCTTACACTGAATCTGCACAACAAGGAACACTCCCTTGAGATAAATGCAAGCCTTGGGATAAGGCTAGTTTTCTTTCACTTGCTTCTGATGAGGAGTGACTCCAGGCTATTGCTGGAACCAGGCTGGAACCAGGCTTCAGTGGAAGCTGAAGTTTTCAGTGTTTATTCTGAAGTCATTGTGGGTCAGGACTGACATCATGGACATGTGAAGAAAAAAGTTCTGGTTCTGCTGTGGTACATACTGATAAACTCTTCCTGAAAACAGGGGAATTATGTAAGTACAGCTTCAGATCTTCTGAGCTACTTTGTGAGTGCCTACCACCAGAATCCCTGCAAAACCTTTATGTTGAATAACTTAGGTGGGCTTGTGAGGTAACACTGAGCTGCAGAAAGGGCTCTTTCCTTGTGGGGAGGAGGCTGACCACGGCACTCCAGCTCTTTGGCCTGAGGAGCTGTGCCTGGGGAATGGGTCCTTCTCCTCCAATCCCAACACTGTGGTCTTGTCACTGGCTCTTTGCAAGGCGGTTTGTTGTCACAGATCCTGGTGTGTGGGTGACATCCCATGTCATGCAGTGTGTCTGCAGCCTTGAACCCATGCTACATCTGCCTCTGTGCTGATGGGCGAGGAGGGGATAGATGAGCCTGTATGAGCTCCATGCTTCTTATTGAGACTGCTTGAACAGGGCTGGGTGTTGCAAGCTGTGCTGCAGTCCCTGTAAGAGGGAAAATTACAGAATGCTACCAGAAAGTACAAGATGCACACTGAGACAGCACAGAATGCTAGGGGCAGCTGCCACTTTGCTCCACTGCAATTTTTAGCAGTGATCTGCAAGGCTGGTGCTCTCATGGCTGTGTTGGGGCTACTACCACGTGGCTGCTCCCCACGTGCTGCCTTCCTCCCTTCTATTTTTGCTGATGAACATGGCTAAAGCACCGCGACTGCCAGGTTCTCCTCAAACTTTCAGAAAGTGGAAGCAAGAATATAAAATGAGCAGAAGAGATTAAAATGGCAGCCTGGGACTGCATATGTCTGCCCCCTGCAAGGAACATTGGATGTGCTTAATGGGAGGTAGGACAAGCTGGCATGAAGTGGTGTACTCAGAGCCAGACCAGAGCAGGGAATGCACTGTCTTAGACCCGAAAGCAGTGAGCAGGTGCTGTGCAATGCCTGCCTACCTGCCTCTGTTGTCTGTCTCCTCACTCCACGTGTTTTCTGTGTCAGATTTCTTGAAGTTTTACTCCTGTCAGCTGGCCAACATATCTGCCCAAGAGCCAGCTGGAGTCTGCTCACTCCCAGCTTGCTCTGATTCAGTATCTTCATTGTAGTTGATGAGGCTAAATGGATCAGAGAGAACACAGCTATGTATACAAAGCACACATTCAGAAACTTTGTCATGACAAGGAATTTTATTCGCTGCTCAACTGGGGAAGCGCTGTGGGTGCAGACAGACAGAAAGCACAGAACCTCCTGGGGCAGCACTTCCCTCTGCCCTGCATCCATCACGTTTGTGTGGCATCTTCAAAAGGAACCAAATCTTCCAAAAGAAGAAGTTTAGACCTGATTAAAAATAAGCCAGTTCGTTTACTGGGGAGCTGTTACACCCCTTCTTCAGACTCTAAATGTAAAACCCAATGAATCTGATGAATCCACCTCCGGATGAAATGTAAGAATCCATTCTGTAAAACCCAAAACAGAACCCTCACAGCAATGGGCAGTGCAGGAGCTGCAACTGATCCCATCCGACCTGTAATCCCTTTTTCCTTTTTCGTATGCTTTGCAAGTTCTGCATGGTGGGGAAGCCTTCCCTTCCCTTCCCTTCTCCCTTCCCTTCCCTTCTCCCTTCCCTTCCCTTCTCCCTTCCCTTCCCTTCTCCCTTCCCTTCCCTTTTCCCTTCCCTTCCTTTTTCCTTCCCTTTCCCTTCTCTCCTCTCCTCTCCTCTCCTCTCCTCTCCTCTCCTCTCCTCTCCTCTCCTCTCCTCTCCCTGACAGTTGGAGCTGTTGCTCTGAAGCCGTAATTCACCAAGTTCACAGGAAACGCTGTGGTGCGGTTGCGGGAACGGAGCGATGGCACAACGGGCGCCTGGGGCGGAGGCGGCAGCGCTTACACTGCGGACTCCCCGAACGTGCGAGGGCCGTGGCGGGAGGAAGGCTGAGTCACCGCAGGGGCAAAAAACGAGACAGCAGCGAATCGCAGCTCGCTCCTCGCTGCGAGAGGCTCCCCGCGGCCGCCTCGCGGGCACTGACGTCCGACAGGGCGGCCGCCCCCCCCCCACCGCGTTCTCCGGACAGATCTCACGACCCGGAGCCGCGCGGCCAACTACACGCCGCTTCCCCCCCGGCTCGAGGCCCCGCACCGCCGGCCCGCATCCGCCGCTCCCGGCGCCGCCCCGCCCTCCCGCCACCCGCGCCCCCTCCCCGCCCCGCAGCACGTGACCCCGCGGGAGGGGGCGCGCGCTGCACCTGTCAGTCAGCGCGTCACTTCCGGCAGCCGCCGCCGCTACCGTTGGGGACCCCCGCTGGCGGAGGCGCGTTCGTGCGACGGAGCGGCTGTGGGGACGGACGGCGCTCGGGGCGGCAGCGTGGCGGCCGCGGCGCACGGCGGCGGCGGGAGACCGAGAGAGGAGGAAGGAGAGGCGGACGAGGCCCGCGAGGAGAGCGGAGCGGCGAGGAGAGGCCCGCGCCGGCCCCCGGGGTAGGAAGAGGCGGAGGAACCTGCCGCTGCCGAGGCCGGCGGGGAGGGCGAGTCACCCGGCAACGGTGAGCGGCCGCGGGGCGCATGCGCGGAGCGGGGGTCGGGGGTCGCGCCTCGGCCGCCGGGCGGGCCCGCCGAGCCGCGGCCGGGGCGGTCCGGGCTTCAGGAACCTTCTGGGCGCTCGCCCGGCCGCGGGAGCCGCCCGCGGGCAGCTGTCAAAGCGCCGCGCCGAGCAGCGCCCGGGCGGTGCTGGCGGCCGGAACGCGGGGCTGGCGGGGCTGGGGGTCCCGGCGGTCGGGGTGCCGCACCGGGCGCGCTGTGGGCGCGCTGATCACGCAGCCCGGCTCCCCTCCGGCTGCCCGTTCCATTGTTCTCGGGAGCTCCGAGGGATCCGAGGCTCTGCGTGGATGCTTCTCGCTGCCGGAGGGCTGCTTCCCGTGTCGGGGCACTTCTTCCGTTCAAGTGCTGCAGCTTCTAACCAAACCTGCCTTGCTTTTGAGCTCCTTGGTCTGTCTGCCTCCTTAAGGCATAGAATCACAGGGTGCTTGGGTTGGAGGGCACCTTGAGCCCATCCAGTTGTCTCCTACCAGACCGGGCTGCCCCAGGCCCCGTTCAGCCTGGCTTTGGGCACATCCACAGATGGGGCACTGCA